GCGCGGTTGTGAAGGGGGTTATGGAGGGGGGGGGGGTGGGAAGAGAGGAGAAGAGAGCAACTTTGCTCTGCAATAACTAAACCTCTTCTACTTCATGACCAGCAACAGCACGTTCGTGAGTGGATTTTTCAGTGGAGGGACGGGAGGGGGAAGGATAGCTGAGCTAGCAGAAGACGATTTGGCAATGGAAGGGAAATTGCTTTTTTAATAAGTGGGCTATTCAGCGCTCACGCTTCACAATAAAGAGCGGCAGAGAGCAACTTTGCTCTGCAATAACTAAACCTCTTCTACTTCATGACCAGCAACAGCACGTTCGTGAGTGGATTTTTCAGTGGAGGGACGGGAGGGGGAAGGATAGCTGAGCTAGCAGAAGACGATTTGGCAATGGAAGGGAAATTGCTTTTTTAATAAGTGGGCTATTCAGCGCTCACGCTTCACAATAAAGAGCGGCAGCGGGAGAGGTCCCACGTCTAATTACCTCATCCTCACCCCAGACAAGCTTTCCCTTTCATTAGCAAATTGAGCTCATACGGGAAGCACTTTGCAAGGCAGAACGGGCGCGACCGGCGCGGGGATTATTTCAGCATTGGGGCAAGTCACAGGCAACCCAGCGAGAGCATCAAGACGGGAAGTCGCAACTTCTACCAAGAGACGAACTTGGACTTTTAGAAGGGAGGGATGGAAAAATCTCAATGCCTAGAGAGACACGGAGAGCGTGGTAGCTTCTGTCCTTGGAGAAGCTGCTCTGTAGCCTGGAATTGGTTGCCAGCTCAGCGAACTAGGCACAGTTCCCTTCTGCCCTCTCAGGGGACCTGTGGAACATTGTCAGGAGTGGAGAGCGGCAGGGGAGGGGGGAAATTCATGCTGGTGAGGAGTTTTGGTGGTCTTCTCCCTCACACAAGTTGTGCCACACCTTGGAGACTGCTCCAGGGTCCGTCCATGTGGAGTAGAGCTTCTTATCCTCTAAGGCAACATCTTGGAGGAAAGAGGTTTCTTGCCCATCCCAAGGATGCATCTGGCCTATACTGGTTTAACTACTGATACCCTGAAGCCAGAACAGCCCCAGGTGTAGACTCTGTTTAGGACCCTAGCCTAGGACTTGGAGACCTATGGTTAATTTCCTGGTCAGCCATAGACTTGTGACCTTGGAAAGCCACTGACTTATCCCATTTCACAGATTGGGTAACACTTCAGAGGAAGAGCTCCATTCACAAAAGATGCTAACACCCACAGGGGTCCTACAGGCATCTTGGATATCTAAGAGCAGGGTCAGGTGTGTGCCAATTCAGATTATGGGTTCCCTATTTTGACACATGCAGGGCTCACGCTGGCTTTCAAACAGCCCTTTCCTCTCAGCTATCGATTTAGCTTCCTGTGCTACTCAACAGCTGGAGAGAGTCTGGAGCACTGGACACTCCCACCCTGTTTTATGGGGAGAAGGAGAGATTGCCAAGAAGTGCAACCCCTCATGCGACTGGTTAATCCTTTATCCTGCTACCTTCACCGGGCAGGTGGGGTTGTCAAAGCAGGGCTGCTACAGCCACACAACACCAGTATGTCAGGCCACCTTGTAATGCTTGCAATCCAACAGGGGTAGCATTGTTTCCCCGGCCGGAGTGAAGAAAGCAAGCATCTCTGGCCTGCATCCCAATAGTTCTGCAGAGGGTGGGGGGTGGGGGGGCCTGTCCCAGCCCTGTTCTTAATTACAGACATGTAAGAGTGGACCTCCAGAGGCCATCCAGAAAGGACCAAGTCCACCCAGACCTTCCCTTGGTCCACCCATGTCCAAGCTGTTGAAAACTACTGTTCACAGCGCTGCCTTGCCCTCTTGGAAAGCCGTTCGAGTGCACAGAAAGTGGATCCTAATAGCCAGTTGAATGCTCCCTTGCTGAAGGCAGGCAGCATGTCCCAAAGCTCTGCAGGGGGAACCCCAGTCCACAGAGCAATGCACTGCAGTTCTGCTCCGCATGCACCATGGCGGTGGTATGAACACCCGGCGATAGCAAGAGGTATTCAAAGCCCAAAAGATCCAGAGATGCTCCTCTCCCCAGCATAGAGCATAAGAACGGCCAGACTAAAAGTCCAATCTAGCCCAGTATCCTGTCAACAGACAGTGGCCAATACCAGATGCCTCAGAAGGCAGGAACATAACAGGTAATCCTCATGCGATCCCTTCCCTGTCACCCATTTCCAGACAAACAGAGGCTAGGGACACCATCTATACCCATCCTGGCTAACAGCCATCAATGGACCTAACCGCCATGAATCTAGTTCTTTTGTGAACCTGTTAAAGTCCTAACCTTCATCACATCCTCTGGCAAGGAGTTCCACAGGTTGACTGTGCACTGAGTGAAGAGCCACACCTCCCATTCAGACCCAGACCCAACCCTAAAGAGGTACAAGGTGGAGTGAATGAACCCAGACAATGCCTTCACTTCCCGCCCCTCCCACAGACCCAGTTTCCAGGCAAGCCAAACCAGGCCACTAGAGGGAACAGCCCCTCACCTTCATGCCTACAAGATTGTTGTGGAAGTCCACCCTGGCTCGCAGGTCCTTGTTGGATTTCTTCCCTAGGAACTCCTTGACAAACTTGTTGCTGTACTTGAGATTATCCCCACAGCCGCCCCACTGCCAGGCCTCTCGGTTTTCCAGGTCGGGGGCCTCGTCGCAGGTGCAGCGTTCCATGCGCCCGGCGCTGCAGGCCTTCGCCATGGCGTGCGTAAGCCCGGCTGAGGAAATGGCATAAAGAAAGGCTGTTTTCTTAAAGATCGGAGGGACTGAGTTATGCCAAAAGCAGTACCCCACGCTGGGTCACGTCTACACCACAGGGTGACATACTGGAGAATCTGAGATAGGAACCCATTTTCCATGGCAGAGAAGCGAAGAAAAAAAGGGCAGACCAGAACTCCTTGCAGCTCCCAGCTGACACGCGTCGACAGCCTTGGCTACGAGGGAACTTTGGCTGTCTGAAAAGGCCTCTGCTGGCATCATGGAGGGCAATTGTTCAGGACACTAAGAGGTCATGGCAAAGGCACTTGTATGCTGACAGAGCTCCTAGGAGAACTCAGTGGGGTCTGGCGCTTCCTGGCAGATTTTGCTTGCCTCAGAGGCTCACAGCAGCCCAGAGTTTTAGGCACCATGCCTAGGGCTTTAGTTTGGTGAGCTCTTTTCATTGTAGGCCAGCATATGGTAAAATGGACCATGAACTCCAACGTCCTTTTCCTCAAGTGGAAGGGGAGAGATTGGAGTAGAGAGTGGGCGTGGGCTCCCTCCCCCCCCACACCCTGATTCCAGCCCAGGGCCCTGTAATAGTCGCTGCCTGTGTGAATTCCCAGCACCTGCTAAGAAAGCTCCAAGACCCTGGGCTACTTCCCCACACCCTCCCAGCACCTTCCTGCTCTTCAATTTGCCCTTCTAGTTGTGATCTTCCTCCCAGCTGCATGCACCCTACAACTGCAGGCAGGCTTCTTTTAGGGGATCAGTATGACATGGTTTTCTTAATTACCCCCAGTGTCCTAATTGGCCTAGGCTGGTCTGACTCTGCAGGTCTGGTCAGTTTGCTCCAGGTGTTCCACTGCTCAAGAGCAGCCCTTTCCTAGGACTCTTGGAACAGAGATCTCCTCAGGTTTGAGGCTTATACAGCTCCCCTCCACTGCTTTTTTTAGCCCTCTGCTCGGACCTCGTCAGAGCTGGTATAAGCTGCATCTACACTAGGGCTCCTACTGGGATAGCTAGGTCAGTCAGTTCAACACCATCACCAAAGAAAGACTCACACCAGCATAGGGAAGATGTTTAAGCGTAGACCAGGCCTGCACCTGAAAGAAGGGAAGTAGCAGAATGTGTATGTGTGTGTGGGC